GGAATGGTCGCCGGTCCATTCTGGGTTCTAGTGGCCTAATCTACACACTAGAGTGTGCACATGGTCCGGTATTAGTTTGTGCCGGCAGATTTCGGTATTAGTTTGTGCCGACAGATATTTAGTTATCAGTTACGTAACTTATGTCGCGAGATCAGACCGGTATCAGATATCAGTTTTAGTTTCAGTTTCAGTTAGTTATATATGCTGAGATCATGATATTGTTATTATTTTCAATATTTACATTAGTATGAGTTTCTGCGGAGCACATGTGTTTTAGTGCTCACGCTGTAATATCCCGATATTTAATCGGTATAAGTTACGTTTAATTCCGATATAGTAACATTATTGTTTATTATTTTCGGAATTAATTAAGTTCAGTCGGAATTACCGAAATTTATTTTCGACGTACCGTTTACGTTCGAAATAATTTTGGTAATTAAGTATTATGTTTAATTGAATAATTAAACATAAGATAAGTGATTAATTAACATTAATCACCATCATTAGCCCTAAAGCCGTGAGATTAAAGTATTTTCCCCAATTTTTCCAACAAAAACCGTGGGCTTCCTTAAGCTTTAAGAGAGGTTTTTAACCAATAAAATTTGAGCAAATGTCAAGCTTAGAATAAGCTTAGTCATCCATAGCCTAATTAAGAGTTGAGCAAGTGTTAACTTGAGGGAAAGCCACGTCCGTGTGATGTAGCATCACCTCTCGCACGGCCAAGTATAAAAGGGTACCTTAGGGGAAATTTTGGTCGCTTTTCTCCCATATGAACCGATCAGATATTCAGCATTAGATCATAGTTTCAGTAGCCTTCATAAGTTAAGTAAACTTCCCTCAATCATCCTCCACAATCGCACGGCAAACCGAAGCCACCGCACGGAGCCGCGAGTGAAGAAGAACACGCCTATTGTTCCGTTTTCAGTCGAACATTTAGTAAGTCAATTCCTTCCTCAATGCATATTCATGTTAATAAGTTCAGTTCAGAGTGAATTGTTCAGATGTTATTTGAGAAGTTCTAAGAAAACCGTGTTTAAGTCCGTGTATATTTAAGTAAGGTTACCACCGAGCAAACTTCAAATTCTTCCGTCAACTTCCGAACCAAAATCGTGTGAATGTTCAGTTTAGTCCATTTTGAGTTCAGTATGATCAGATTATTGAGGCAAAATGAAGAAAAGCCGATGAAATGGCCCCAGCCGGCGCCCCCGCGCCTATCGCGCGTAGCTTCGGGTAGCCGCGGGCCGAGGCTTGTTACTTTCAGTATTAAGCATAATTGTCCGTGTGATTAGTCCTTAAATTGCTTCAGTTTAATAATCATGCTGAGGTGTTCGGTAGTTGTCGGATAATATGTAAGATCGGCCGAGGGACGGCACATAGCCGTCGGCGGCGCTCGGGCGCTCGCCGCGGCCTTTGATGTTCGATATGTGTTGACTGAACCTTCAAGTCATATTTGATAAGTTTATTTATGTTAAGTTCAATTAGGTTCAGAGTTGGTCGCATTACTCGTTTGTGGCCGAGGGATGGCCGTAGGCCGTAGGCATCGCACATAGCGAGTGCGCCACGGCCGAGGGGCTAGGGTTGTAAGTCAAGTTCAGCCGTTTCATATTAAATCCAGTTTAATATTCTTTTCAGGTCAGAACATGTTAGTAGAGGTCAGTTTTGTCGGATAGAATTGCCGGACGGTCGGCACGGAGCCGACTGTGGCCGCGCTGCC